CAACACGATTGTCTATGTAGAAAATTCTATTGAATCTACAAGACAACTTCTTGAACTAAGTTAATTTAGCACGGTTTCAGAATTCAAGGTCAATATACAAAAATTAATTTTATTTCTACATACTAGAAACAAAGAAACGAAAATTAAAAATACCATTTACAATATCATCCAAATATGAAATAATTAGGGATAAATTAGACAAAAAGGTATGAAATTTTTTTTTCATTAAAAAACCGGCAAACCATTGCTTAGAGAAATGAAAGAATACCTAAATAAAAGGACAGATATATCCTGTTCAGGCATCAGAAGACTCAATATTGTTAAGACATCTCCCCAGATTGGAGTGTAGATTCAGTGCAATTCCAGCCCTCAAACACACACCTGTCCCGCCCCCCTGAAGGTTCCAAAGCTTTTGCGGACCGATGGCCTCGTGGAGGCTGGGCACTGGCTGCACAGGCTGGTGCTGAGCTGTGTGAGTCTCACAGTGGTCCCTAGGATGTCCGGGGTGGAGAGGAGGCCAGGAACCAGGGCTGAGCTAGGAGGTTCCCCGAGGCAGGTACCGTGGGGCCAAATGGGAGGCAGAGATTCACCCAGAAAGCTGACAGCCATTGTCTCCAAGATGTGAGATTAATGATGAATCTTATTTACTTCTTAATGTTCCTATTTTTTGACCTTTTTTTTTTTTTTTTTTTTTTTAAAATTTTTTTTTTTTTTTCAAAAAAGGCTGTCAGTAATGAAAAGGACTGATTAATCTATGTTTTTGTACTGGGTTAATTACATAATGGTTNCACCCCATAGTTAATTCTCATGGCATTTTGGCTTTTGCACGTCTGTATAATTTGACTGTTTTATAAGGAGGTTGCGTTTGTTTTCAGAATCAAAGAGGCAGGCTGGTAGGCAGGACGTGTGTGACCTGTGGCCAAACCTGTGGCTAAAAATAGGTCTTAGGAGACCCTGAGAACTTCTGGGGGGCGAGTCTCAGTAATCAGGGTGCGCAGACGGCAGTGAATGGGGGACGGGCGAGCACAGCATTCTGCCTGCCACGGTCTCCCCAAGGCTGACTTCGGTTGGACACAGGCTGTCTGGTTAACGCGTCACGTCACCTCAAAGCATCCGACGGGAGACGGGGCTCCTTAATCCTGCCGAGGCAGATTGGGATCTCTAATTACCTAATTGGAAAAAGGCACACATGTCAGGCTGCCGTGGTGTTTGGGAATTAATCTTTAAAACCTGACAGTAAACATTAAATTCAATTAGGGCGGGCGATTAGCAAGGACTCTTCGCGCCTCCGCCCGGGTAGCTGGGAGGAGGGCTGGCTGGTCTGCGCTGATTCCGGCGCCCTCGCTGTGCGTGAATCAACCAGGAGGGCCGAGCGGGCCTTTCACTTCAGAGGGGAGTTATCGGGCGATGACAGACGGGTGGGTTTCTCTAAACACGGAACCGCGTTTCCACCGCCGACTCCGGACGCCCCCAGCCAAGCCCCAGGCTTTCCCGTTTGCTGCTGTAGGTTCTGGTGCTGCAGCTGCATCTTCTCCCCCCTCTCTCCCCTCTCTCCTTTCTCCTCTCTTCTCTCTTCTCTCCTCTCTTCTCTCTTCCCTCTTCTCCTCCCATGACCGTGATCCCTCCTCCCCCCTCCCAGCCCCCCTTCCTTCTTCCTTCACCCCGTTCTCTCTCCCTTCCTTTCTCCCCTTGTCTTCCTCCCGCTTCCTCTTCATCAACGTTATGAATTACGAAGTATTTTAAACATAATCAAAAGTGTGGGGAGTAACGTAGCCGACACCTGCGTACCCACCACTCAGGTGGTGAAGCCCAGGGTTGGGCCCCAGGTCCCGGCTGATGGGGTCAGCAGCCTTGGACCGTGGCTCTCCTCGGCTCCCAGGGGGCGCCTCTGCTGCGCGCCCTCCCCCTCGCTGGCCTCTGCTCCCCACGCTCCGCTCTGGTCCCTCCTCAGCCTCCTTGCGCCCCTACCTGGGAGCCCTGGGCCTCCTCTCTGCTCCCTCTACGTTCATTCCAGTGCGGGACTGAAACACCGCCAGTGACAGTGACCCCCAAAGCTCAGCCTCCCCCCTGGACCTCACACTCGTATCCAGCTGCCGGCTCTCTGTCGTTCAAAACCGACCTCCTGGTCCTCCCCAAACTTGCCACTCCTGCATCGGGCGCACCCCTGCCACCCCCTCCTCCCTCTCCTCCGGGTGCTCGGGCCAGGACCGAGGACTTGGCTGGACCTTTCTCTTGCCCTTCTTCCCCACCTCCAAGCCGAGGAGACCTTGTTGGTTCTACCTTCCAAGTAAGGCCACTTCTCCACTGCCTCCAACTGGCCCAAGCCATCCTCTGCCCGCTGGGTTCTCACAGAAGCTCCTCACGTCTCCCCCGCCCCTCCCTCTCCTCCCTCTCTGCAGCCAGACTGGGCCTGGTCCCACCTGGAGGGCCCTCCCCCCAGTTTCTGTGTCGCTCCCTTCCCCGTCGCCCTCTCTGAGAGGCCCTTCCCCTTTTCCCGCCTACGTTTTGGATGCCAGGTGTTACCACCACCTCAAGTACTACATGGATCCTGCTGGTTCATCCTGTTCAGGCCTGTCTACCCCACTAGAATGTAAATTCTTTGGAGGCAGAGGTTTTGTCTTGTTTACTGCTGAACGATGCCTGGCTGATACAGATGCTCAGGAAGCCTTTGCTGAATGAATGTGTAAGTGAATGGGCCTAATAGATGACAGCATCAGGGCATGTTTGCTTCAGAGCAGATTTGCCCCCCCCCCAACTCTGCCTCTCTCTAGAGGAAAGAGCGTAGTGTTCGTAGCTCCCGGCCCCGACCCTGCCCCTCTCCCTCCACTCCCAGTCTCACTGCAGGTGCACAGACATGATAGCATCCTGCTTCATGTGCGCTTTTAAAACTGTTGGAAGACACACAAGATAGAACTTACCACCCTAACCATGTTTAAGTGTACGATTCCGTGGCCTTAAGTACACCCATGTTATTGTATAACCGTCCCCACCATCCGTCTCCAAAACGCTTGCATCCTGCAAAACTGAAACTGTCTCCGTGAAACAACCAACTCCCCACCCTCCTCTGTCTGCCCGCCGGCAACCACCAGCCTACAGTCCAGCTCTACGATTTTCACTACTCAGGACCTCGTGTAAGTGGAATGATACATTATTTGCCTCTTGGGACTAGTGTATTTCACTCAGCACACTCTCCTCAAAGTCCATCCACAGTGTAGCTTGTGGAAGAGCCTCCTTCCTTTTCATGGCTGAGTAATATTCCACCGTGTGGATGGACCACACCTTGTTTATACGTTCATCTGTCGGTGGACACTTGGCTGCGTCCACCCGCGGCTGTCGTGAGTAATGTGATATGAACACTGGTGAGCGTGTGTCCCTTTGAGACCCTGGTTTCAGTTCCTTCGTGTGCACAAGTGCAATTGTTGGTTCATATGGTAATTCTGTGATTATCTTTTGAGGAACTGCCATGCTGTTTCCCACAGTGGCTGGACTGTTCTTGCATTCCCACCGACAGGGCACGAGGGTTCCTGATTCTCCAGCCTCTCCAACACTTGCTTGTTTGTTTTTTGAAAGAAGCCATCCCAATGGGTACGAGGTGGCGTTCTGTGTGTGGTTAAAACTTACTGTGTATAAGCAGCAGGACCTGTGTGCTCAGTATTTTTTTTACTGTTTAGCCTTGTTAACCCTGTGGATCTAGTTCATTAATTTTTTTTCTGTTAAAGTCAGACTTGTACATAGTTTTGAAAAAAACACGCAGAAGAGCCGCTCCCTACACTGCCCTTCCACCCTGAATTCCACTCCACCTTGAAGGCTCTGGCTGTTCCTCTGTGACTTCTGTCCGTGTTTCTCAATGTAAATGCTGCTATTCTTGGTTCGTCAGTTGAGGCCCCAGCTCTGGACCCCCAGGAAGGAAGGAACTGAGCTCTTAGCACCCTGGGAGGGCATCTCTCGACCTCTTGCCTTCTTACACTTACACACTTGCGTGCTGGGAAACACGCTTTCAGAACCCTGGTCTTCTGCATTTGAGAAGCTTCAGGGTGAATTTTCTCACCGTGAAAGGGGAGGATCTCTTGAGGATCAGGTTTGTGGGGGTGCATGGGTTCCCCAATGTTGCTGAGAAAGTGTCCGGGAACCCTGCCGGTGGGACTTCGTGCCTGCAGCCCTGAGAAGCACCGCGGCTCCCTGTCTGCTCCCCAGGTCCCCACTTCTTATCCCCGCTTTACAGAGGAGCAGATGGCGGCCTAGAGGGCCAGCAGCACGGGGGCACCTGGCCCCAGTGCCCATGTGCCAGCTGCAGGTGCCCTTCCTGCTTCCCGAGTTCAGTCCTCTGAGCCCCGGGATGACCGGTGAGGCCAGGCCCTGGGCTGTGTGGTGGTGGGTGGAGCTTCCTGGGAGAGCTGGTGACAGCTGCAGCCAGGCCCTCCAGTACTGAGTGGTTCTCGCTCTTGGACTGTACAGGTCTATACTTGAGGGCTCAACAACGCATTTTAGAGATCAACAAGTGTACCTGGGGCTGTCTGCCACGGGCCTTGTTCCCCAGAAAGCCAGGGTGGGAACGAGGCCAGCGCCTTCTCTCCCTTGGGCAGACACTTGCCGTCTGCCCTGTTGTAAGCACAGGTGTGGCAGGCTCTTTTTGGATCTTAGCTGAACCTGTGAAGGTAGCCTGGCCTGGTGCAGTGTCCCCTGCAGGGCTGAGAAAGTCCCGTCTCACAGGTATCAGAGATGCAGGTGAGACTGCGCAGAGCAGAGCTGGGAATGTGGTAGCTGTCATTTTCCTGTGGGCTCCCTGGGCCCCAGAAAATATTTTGGGAAAAGCTCCCCCTCAACTCACGGCCCCAAGCTTTTACATTTGTACGAGGAAATATTTAACCTCTAGGTCTTGTTTTGATGGCAACATGAAGGGAATCTGGTTCCACTGTGAGACCCTCCTCCCGCTGCAGGGCCAAGCTGAGCCCGCAGACCAGGCCCTGCTTCTGACGTCTGGCGCTGTGTTTGCCCCATAGGTGTGGAACGCAGTGGACTCGGGGAGCTGCCTGCAAACCTACTCCCTGCACAGCGAGGCGGTGCGGGCTGCCCGGTGGTCCCCCTGCGGCCAGCGCATCCTCAGCGGTGGCTTCGACTGCGCCCTGCACCTCACAGACCTCGAAACAGGTGTGTTTCTCTGTGTGGTGACCTCAGGCACCCCTTCTGGTGACGGAGCCAGCTTTCCCCTTGGGAAACTTCCTGGTGGGTCTGCAGCTGGTGTCAGGGCCGTGGGAGACAAACCCTGGGACTGGGACCAAGACTCTCTGTGGAGGGTTTGGGCTGGGGCCGTGCCAGCCACCGAGGACAGAGCCCCAAGGTTGTCTTGGCCCCAAGCTGTGGGGCTGGATAAAGAGATGGCTTTTTAATCAGCTTCTGACATGTAATTTGTCCTGAAATGGATTCAGCTTTATCACGGTGTCCTTCGGTCGGAACCAGTTTAGAATTCCTGTCAATTCATTATCGTTGAAAGCAAGCCGTAAGGAACGAGTCCAGCTCACAGGGCGAGTCTGCGAGCGAGGTCTGCTTTAATGCCCACACTGAGCAGGCAGCTGGGCGAGAGGGAGCCGCTGGGGCAAACCCGCAGGGGACTGCTGACAAGCAGGGCGAGAAGGAGACAGAAGTCAGTGGAAGGAGCTCCGGTCACCAGGCTCTGCTGCGCAGCGGGCACCGTGAGCGCCTAGTCCAGCCACCGCCCGAGCCTCCCATCCTGGTTTCCAGGTGAGGTCAGAGCCGGGGAGTGCGCAGCTGGGCTCAGACCTCTGCCCCGACCCCCAGGCTGCTGCCTTCTCCTCCCTGGGCGTCTCCTGGGTCCCTCTGTTGCTGGCACCACTGCCAAAGCCAGAGCCAGGAGGGGAGGCCCTGGTTCCCTCGAGCCCTTGGGCAGCCCCTGCCTGCCTGGCCCAGCAGTGGTGGTGCTGGGGTCTGCGTCTCTCCCGGCCCAGCCAGCAGGGGTGGTGACTCTGGAGTCGGGCCGCTCAGCTCCTCCTCCCCAGCAGCTTGGAGGTAGGCACAGGGAGGGCAGGTAGTGGGTGGTTTGGGGTGACTGTGGGGTGTCTCCCCCTCGAGTGTCCTGACTCCTGGGCTGTGGAGGGCAGCCTCCTAGATCCTCTGACTGAGCCCCACGCACACTCAGTGAGGGTGGAGGCATGACTGACGGCTGTGTCAGCAGCTGGCCCTGTGCCACGGGCTTTGCCCACAACATGTCACTCCTCACCTGGGCTGCTGCCGTGATTATTTCCCCACTTCACAGGTGAAGTGACTGAGGCTGGAGGGGTGGGGAGCTTGCCCAGGGTCTTTTGGTGGTGGGTGTCACACGGGACTTGAGTCGCGTCTATGCACTGCGGAGCCTGTGCCCATTCCACAGTTCCATGTGGACGTTGCCCTGACTGTCCGTGGTCTCACTGGGAGCCCGCAGGGCTGAGGAGGGAGCCAGGGCTCAGGGAGTTGGATGCCACTTGATGCTGCTGCTGATTGGGTCAGTGATGACAGCAGCAGGTACTGTCACCGAGTGCCCACTACATGCTGGGCCTTCTGCCACAGACTGACACCTGGGTCTCATTTAGCCCCCTCTCACCCTTAGAGGCTGGCACCACCTGAATTCTATTCACACCTTGGCCCCGAGCCATGAGCCAGCAGTAGAGTCAGGGTGCGGGCAGGCCTGCCAGGCTCTGAGCCTGCTCCTGACCTTGCACTCAGTAAGCCAAGCTCAGTATTGGAGACATGGGCGAGCAAGACCTGGGGCCCACCTGGAGAAGCCCATAGCTGCTGGGAGACACGAAGTGCTGAGAGAATCTCAGTGATGCAGCAGACTCAGGAGCTACGAGAACCTCTAGCCTGGAGGATTAAGGAAGACTTCCTGGAGGAAGAGGGACCCGAGCTGAGGCAGGATTAGGGGGACGGAGAATCAGGTTGCAGGGGCGTGGTTGAGTGGGAGGGAAGCGGGTTCTCAGTGGATGGCACAGTGATGACCCAGGTGTCACAGGAGCATGAACTGTGGTAGAAATGTGGGTGCAGGGAGCTGGGGGGCTGAGCCCGGGGTGCAGGAGCGGTGCCTGAGCTTTAGGAAGCTCCAGGCCCGTGGTGCACGTTCCCAGGCACTGCTCCCTACTGCAGGGTCAGAGTGCCATGGGCGCCGCCCATCAGCCTGCAGGTGAAGTGATGCTTTTCACACCCTGGTGATGCAGTTGGTTAATCCAATAGGAGTTCATTAGATAACATTGATAGGATCCTAGTGGCCCTTTGTCATACTCTGTCTTCTCAGTCAACAGATGTTAGTTAAACAGACACTGCCCTTGTGTGTGTGTGTGTGTGTGTGTGTGTGTGAGAGGGGGAGAAGTGTCTGAAATTCCTAGACTTTCAGAGTCCTCCTGCCTCACAAGTTAGGGACTGTCACAGCAGGTGGCAGTAGGGGGCCGCTGCGGAGGCTGGAGCACTCTGGGCAGGTTTCCTGGTTGGCAGCTGGTTGGGTGTGCCCGAGGCTGATGGAGCGCTGGAGGAGGGGAGGCAGCTGCCTGGCCCCTGTTGGCAGAGCTGTGGCTGGAAGGAAGGTGTCTGGCCCCGCCCCTCCTCCCCCTCCAGCTCTGGCGTGCCTGGGGGTGGCAGAGGGAGGGCATGGCCTGACCCTCAGAGCAGTTGCCATCTGGCCTGGGAGGTGATGGGGACTTTTCCATGCACACCCTCTGCTGGGAATGGCACCCACCACCTGGTTCACCTGTTGAAGGCCCACTTTCCTTCACTCAGCACTTATTGAGCACGTATTGTGTACAGGGCCTGGTGCTGGGCTGCAGTGGTGAGCGTGTTAGATGGGGGGTAGGGATGAGGGGTTTGGACCTCGCCCTTGGGGAAGCCCTCCAGCCCCTAGAGGGGGCCTCCCCTGCTGAAGGGGTTGTTGGTTTCCATGTCCATGTCTCCCGGGCTAGTGTGGGAGCTCCTGGAGGCTGGGCCTGTCCCGGTGGTCTCCGTGTTTCCGTCATCAGGCCAGGCCTGGTGGACGAGACGGAGCTGAGGCCGGCCCTTGCCAGGCAGTCAGACCCTCCAGGGGCCGCCGGGGTGGGGTGGGGGTGGGGGCTTCACCCCGACCTGGGCTGAGCTGGGTGCTATCTTTAGCAGGGGCTGGGTAGGCGTGCGCTGCCTCCATGGCTCTCGGCCTGGTCCGCTGTCTGTCCTTTCTCGTCACCAAGCCCGATCTCCCTCTTCCCCAGCTCTGCCTCTTTCCGCCCTCGGTGATTTGGCTTTTTCATTTCAATCTAATTAGAACTCCCTGCCAGGAGAAGGCGACGTAGGGCGTTCTCACTGCAGTGCTGCGGGAATTAGTCACTCGGTGCCCATTGTCACTAATGGGAATTTGGCGCCAAGACCATTTATCCTGGTGTCCTCAATCAATACCATTAAAAATCTGTGGGTTCTAAAACGTCAATACCCGGCCAGAGATATGGAGGGCCAGCCACATTTTATCTCGTTAATTTATAGTTCTGACGGGCCGTTGGCTTATAGAGCAACCATGAATCAACACTTAAATAAAATCCGCTCACAGATTAATTATTTTTGATGCTCTCGTTTCAGTCTGTAATCTTCCTAACAAAACGCCTCTGGTGCATTAGGCTGAGGCGGCCTCAGGGAAGCCAGCGGCTCTGCCAACACCCAAGCTTCGCTGCTTTATGAGTCAGCGTCCTGCATACCAGATCCGCTGTCTCCTCTAAATTCCTGGCTGCTGTTCATTCTACCTGGCGCTGGCTTCTTACACCATCCGGCCCCCCCAGGCAGTAGCCCCCCTGGCTGCAAAGGCCTCCAAGGTAGAGGGGACGGTCCTTTCCCTGGAGCCTCAGGGCACCCTGTCCTTCCTGGGTCATGGTCAGCTCTACGGATATGTGCCCAGCCTGTCCAGGAGCAGCTCTCAGTGCTGGAGGTGCACGTGTGACAGAGCATGGGTGGGGTACAGATGCGGCCGGGATCCCCAGGGAAGGTTCCTTTGCTCTGTGTCTGCATCTGCGGAGAGGTGACGGAGCCTGGCTGGGGGTGCTGTTGAGGGAGAGCTGAGATGGGGGTGCAGAGGCTGTCTGTGGAATGCCCGGCACATGGTAGGCGCTTGGCAAATGGTGTCCCTTCCTGCCCTCGTCACTGCCCCAGGAGGCCTCTCAGACGGTAGGAGACAATGACCTCATTCCTACTGAGTGTCCAGAGAGCCCCAGCTGCTGGCCCTTTCCCCAAGCGGAACAGCTCTGGGGGCTCAGTGCCAAAAGCCCCGATGTTTTCCTGAGCTGGCAGGTTAGTGGGCCTCTCTCTCCCAGGTGTGGATCAGGGAGCAAGTCCCAGCTTCTCTTCCATGTCCTGCTTCTCCATGACAGCGTGGCCTGGCGGGGGTGACAGCTTCCTCCCTGTGATGGGACGGCACGTGCCCTTTGTGTGGGTAGGTGTCCTCCTCACTCAGACCCCCTGCCTGCAGCCTTGCTGTCCTCAGCCCTGGGCTGGCCCCTCCTGCTCTGGGGTCCCTGTCTTTTGGTGTGTGTGTGGGGGGGTGTCATGGTGCATGGAAATGAGTGGCCAACTGGGTCTGGACCCATAAATGGTCGTTTCTCTTGCTTTCCCAGAAAGGTCTTTGGTGTCCTCCTTGCTCGTGGGTCCTGATGGGGCCCCGATCACAGAAACGCTACAAGGACATGGACGGCAGAGGGCCGAACGCTCTCCGCAGGCCAGGCCTGTGTCAGGTTGAAATGAGTAAATGGATGTCAGACCCCTGCTTACTCCATATCTACCCTCCACTCTACCCTGTGAGGGGAGTGCTTTTACCCCCATTGCGTTGACCCAGACACTGAGGTTAGAGTATTTGCTGAGTTGCTTGGAGCCACACCGCCAGCCGACACAGCCGGGCCCCAACTCCAGCCTGTGTGACAGCCGGAGGCTTTGCTGTTGACTCTTGGGTGTAGCGTGCCCTGACCGCGTCTGCTCCCTGCTCTGGACAAACTGTTTACTCCAGTCGACGTGGGGAGCCTACTCGGCTCTCTCCCGGGCAGCTGGCTTGCTACCTGCAGAGGAACCTCGGGGCCGCTGGGAGGAAGGCATGCCCAGACGGGTCAGCTTAGGCTTAGAGTTAGGGTTAGTGACTGATCCCTCTGATTAAGTGACCGGCT